ATGTTGAGTTCAATCTGAAATGCTAGCTGGAAAAAATGGTGTACACGAAAATTTGACTATTTTTTTTTGGCAGAAGCTACTTTGGCCGTGACTTTGGAAGTGAAGGGGATAGGGGGAAAATCCTTCCTTCGTCCACTTTTACTTTCAAAATTGAAATTTGATTCCTTAAAATATCATGCATGCTCGCATTCTGCATTTTACTTTTAATTTATCACTCACTGTCTCTGGAATTGGGGTAAAGGAATTATTCCACTTTTAGTTTATGGAAATATCGATTTCCATTCGTTTTATGTTCAATATTAAAGGTTTAATTGTGTGATTATGAAATCAGATAAATATAATATTCTTGTTCTATAGACTGGGCACTGTATAAAAGCATGATCACTGAAGCAGTAAATGTTAATATGCTACATTTGCTGACTAATCATTGTGGCGGGAATTCTTTGCATAAATTAACATCTCTCGCATATTTCTGAGGGAAATTCGAATCGGACCAAGTCTGAACTTGGTCTTAGAAATGTGATGTGTTGGCGCTGTTTATTGACGCAAATATTCATAAATAAGTATTAATACATATATAAACCGAGAATGGAAGAGAGAAAAAGAGACGTGAAACCTAAAGACAAAGTCATGCGTTACCTGTTTGAAGAGCCAAGTTTGGAGGAGAGAGAAGCAGAGAAGATTGCACAAGAAGTTTCACTCTGGCGGGAGTTGTTTGCATATATTATAAGATCTCTCGCATATTTCTGACGGAAATTCGAAGCGGGTCAAGTCTAAGAACTTGGTCTTAGAATGTGCATGTTTTAGTTGACTTGAGACACTGCTTGTTGACGTAGATATTTGTAAATACGTTCAATAAAGACCAACAATGAATAGTACGAAAATAGAAGAGAGAAAAAGAGATATTAAACCTACAAACAAAGTCATACGTTGTCTGTTGAAGAAGATTGCACAAGAACAAGAACGGTACAGACAAAACGAGGAAAGAAAAGCGGAATATAACTTTGATTTCTTAAGATAATTCAGTTGATTCCGCTCTGCAACATTCTAATTCTCGATATACAAATTGGCAAATGGTTACGGGACCAATATATAATATATATATATATATATATATATATATATATATATATATATATATATATATATATATATATATATATATATATATATATATATATATATATATATATATATATATATATATATATATATATATATATATATATATATATTAATGTTCTAGAGTGTGTATTATATAATTTCCATACCCAGCGCAAGCAGAACGATGTTGTCTGCCGCGGCTGGGTCTTGAACCCGCGACCTTCGAATTACTAGATCGACGCTCTACCAACTGAGCTACACGGTCAGACGGATTTAAGACTGGAAATTATGAAATATATACTGAATGTCATAAACATACTCGTTTATATTAATTCAGCATCGAACAATACTTGTTCTGCAAGTGTTATGTTAAGTTGTGTAATTGTACACTCCGTAATATGTTAAGATGAAAATGTTCTTATATAATACTATATAATTTCCATACCCAGCGCAAGCAGAAAGATGTTGTCTGCCGCGGCTGGGTCTTGAAATGGGTATGGAAATGGTATGGTCTTGCGCTGGGTATGGAAATTATATAATACACACTCTAGAACATTTTCATCTTAACATATTACGGAGTGTACAATTACACAACTTAACATATATATATTATATATATTATAATATATATATTAATATATATATATATATATATATATATATATATATATATATATATATATATATATATATACCGGGTGTCCCAAAAAAAAGTACTCCTGTTTGATTTATAATAACTTCTAAACAAGTAAAGCTATCAAACAGAAATAACTTGCATTACATATAGGAAGGGCTAACTTAGATTTTGATATGTTACAGTTGTATTTTACTTAAAAATTCACCGAGATATTAATGTTCAAAATCTGGAGCATATTTTCGGATGTGTCTAAAATTAGCGAAAATCTGCATATCAAATATAACTCCAGCGTTTCTTTGTTTAATGACATATCAGGCTAACTTGTATTTCAACGAATTGTCGTTAGGGTTTGTATTAGGGATATGGCGTAGATTTAGACATCTTAACATATATGCATGTAAGTCTTAGCTCATGTTTCCTGAAATATGAATGTTCGAAATTATGCAAGTATTTAATAGGTCTTTACAAACTTAAAGGTACATGAAAGACCACTAGGCAGGCTTAAATATTTCTTAAATAGC